CACCAGCATGCAGTTTATACAGTAGATTTTGTAAGTGCAGGAGCAGGACACTCACAAACACATTACATGGTCCGGTATACCTCTGCACTTCATCTGTGAAGCTCAGTTGTGTTGGTGTCCTATGCAGCACTCCTCTCAGATAGGCAAACAGGACAGTTGTTTCTCACTGTCGAGGTAGACAGGCACTCAGGAAGAGGTTAGCTTATGAGACCATTTAGAGGGCTTACCGTTGAGTACACCCTATGGGCAAACCATGGTGCAAAAACAGTTATTTTGAGGAAATTGATACATTTAAGATAAAGATACAATAATTTGCAGCATAGTAAAACGATATTGTTAATGTTATTCCTAATTAAGGCCCTTGGTGAACCTTTACTATGAGTTTGTTTGTAATGATGATTAAATGTGAACATTGTTTAAGTACCACTAAATGCTCCTCAGATCCCTATAACTTTACAATGAAGTCCAGCAGTTCCCTGTCATAGGCTCACTTCGATGCTGCGATGACGTCATCACTTTGGGAACACCTTCGGTGTGACGAATGTCTGAAGCCCTTATACCATCACGCCAATTCATTGGCCAAATAGCGCTTAGCACCGCCCCCAAAGCGCACGTAGGTGAGCTATATAGCGTGCTGCGCGCTATTTTCATCAGATTTCATTTCCTTCAGGAAGCGAATCATCTGTCGCCCGTAGGAAAGCAAAAAAAAAAGTTTTGTTCTTAGCTATTTCTCTAAAAAGAGCAGTTTACTCCTCTTCAGCGGACACGATGAGCTACAGGAGATGCATCGAGCCGTGTGACAGGTTCATCGCAGGAGGAGACACTCATGACAGGTGCGTGCAATGTTTGGGCCTACAGCATGCCCAAGCGGCACTTAGCGGCCTTTCTGATTGTCGACACTGTGATAGCCTACGGCTAAAAGCACTGCGCTCGAGGTTCGCGGCCTTCTCAAATAGAGTAGGCCTCGCGTCTAACCCCCGTTATCCCGTTTCTGCGGTTGCCGAGGCGCCACACGAGACGGTCGCTTGGGGTGACGCATGCGAGCCGAGGCGTTTAGAGGGCGAGTCAACTGAATTTTCTCCTTTTCTCTCGCTCTCTCCGGGCCATGTGCAAGCGCTCGAAGAACGCTACGGGGATCCCGTGGTCTTCGTTAATGACAATTTGCGGCCTACCCCGGAAGCTCGCGATGCGATGTCTTTCGGTTGTATGCCATATGATGAAGACGTGCTGTCCACAGCAGCCTCCGACTCTGAGGATTTATTGGGCGAACTGTGCAGTTCTCTCCCTTCGAGTGGACAGGAGAAACGCACTTCCCCGTCTTACAGACGTTGTAACGCGCGCTGTGGATAAGCTGGGGTTAGAGTGGGATAGCGAGCCAGCACAAACTCAGTCCCAGTCAAAACTGGACGATCGATTTTTGTCCAGCCGCACTCTGTCTCAGCCCCGTAGGCCTCTCCCCTTTTTCCAAGACCTCCACTACGAGGTTTCGAGGTCTTGGAAACAACCTTTCTCGGCGCGTATCACTAATCCCGCCGCCGCTGATTTCGCCACGGTTTCTAAAATGGCGGCTCACAGCTACTCTCGCAGCACATCTCGCGCCAAATTCTGCTCCGTCTTGGAAATCACACCCTCTGCTACCATCCAAGCCGTGTAGGGTTACTTCCGCTTTGATCAGAAAATCTTACATGGCCGCTGGGCAGGCCGCGGCTACACTCCATTCTATGGGTGTACTCCAGGCTTATCAGGCAGACGTGCTCAAGGAGCTGGATGAGGGAGAAGGCTTGACTCCAGAGGCCGTTAAAGAGCTCAGACGAGCTACTGACTTGGAGCTTAGGGCTACCAAGCACACAGCTCGGGCAGTGGGCAGGTCCATGGCAGGGTTAGTGTCAGCTGAGTGCCATCTTTGGCTTACTCTCATTGACATTAAAGAGAAGGACAGAACTTTTCTCCTGGACGCCCCCATTTCGAGTGACGGTCTGTTCGGAGACTCGGTCACTACGGTCGTGGAGAAATTTAGAGCAGCGAAACAGCAGTCAGCTGCGTTCCGTCAACTCATCCCTCGCAGGGCTAGGGAAGTGGAACGTCAGCCACCTGCGGCTCGCTCACGCTCTTCATCCTTACAGCACTGCGAGGTCCAGCGGCATGAGCCACCGCCTAGGTTACCCCCTCGTAAAGACTGGGGTCCTAGGTCTCGCCCACCGGCTTACGCACGGCAACGCAAGCGAGTAGACCTGAGTTCGACGGCAAAGCCCTCTCGTCCTCAGGCCCCTAAAAGCAGTTCCTGATTCCTCTGATCATCTTCGGAGGCCAGCCCCTCCTTTAGAGAGAGTGTACGAACCGCACAAGCGTATTCGATTCTCTCGCTGTGGCCTCCAGACTCCGCCTCGATTTTAGGTCAGGAGATCATATCACTCCTAGAGAAAGGGGCTATAGAGGAGATACTCCCCACTCAGATGGAGTCAGGCTTCTACAGCCGGTATTTTGTTGTACCCAAGAAAGATGGTGGTTTACGTCCGATTTTGGACTTACGTCGTCTAAACCTCATGCACAGAGTGAGCAAGTTCAAGATGTTAACAGTAAAGTCCATTCTGTCTCAGGTTCAATCCGGAGATTGGTTTGTGACCATCGATCTAAAGGATGCATACTTTCACATCCAGATCGTCAGGAGGCACAGGAAGTTCCTCAGGTTTGCTTTCGAGGGCAAAGCATACCAATTCAATACTGTGTTCTTCCGTTCGGACTAGCTTTGACTCCTCGAACGTTTACAAAATGCATGGAGGCAGCTCTGGCCCCGTTGCGGCTCCAGGGTGTCCGAATTTTGAACTACCTAGACGATTGGCTAATACTAGCTCAATCTGTCTAGGTCAGTTCAAGACAGGGCGCCGAGTACATGTAGGCCTGTGTCTCAGGCTGTTGGGTCTGATGGCGGCAGCGTCCCCTGTATTTCAGTTGGGCCTGCTTCACATGCGACCATTTCAGTGGTGGACCAAGAGCCAGAACATTTCGCATCACTGTCACCCGCTTCGCAGAATTACGGTGACACGCAAAGGCTCTCGTATTCTAAGCCCCTCGATGAGACCCCAGTTCTTTCTGGAAGGAGTCCAGATGGGGACGTTGTGTTGCCGCAAAACGGTCATGACGGACGCGTCCCTTACGGGCTGGGGAGCGGTCCATCAGGGAGATCCAGTCGGTGGAGTCTGGACAGAGGTACATCGAGACCGGCACATAAACCGTTTGGAGATGCTTGCGGTTCGAAAGTGGACTTGTTCGCTTCGAGCATGACTACGCACTGCCCGCTTCGGTTTTCCCTGTCTCCTCCGTCGCCGGATGGTCTGGCCCATGAATGGCCCAGGACCAGTCTTTATGCTTTTCCCCCAATCCGGTTGCTCCCAGCAGTCCTATTCAGAATACGATCAGAAAGAGTGGAGCACCTGTTGCTGGTGGCCCCGCAGTGGCCCACTCAGTCGTGGTTATTAGACCTGATCAGTCTACTAGCAGGCCCTCCATGGGAGGTTCCCCTCAGACACGATCAGTTGACACAAGCTCGGGGCATGATTTGGCATCCTCGACCAGAATTATGGAGGTTATGGGCGTGGCCCTTGAGCGGAGTACGCTAATGTGTTCTGGTCTCTGGGCTGAGATTACAGACACTATTATGAATTCTAGGGCTCCCTCCACAAGACGCTTATATGCTTTCAAGTTGAGACTTTTTGCCTCTTGGTGTAGACAACGCACTTTGGATCCAGTTCACTGCCCTATAGGTTCAATACTGGAGTTTCTTCAGAGTCGTTTTTCTGAAGGGGTTACCCCCGCCACTCTTAAAGTGTACGTCGCGGCCATATCGGCAGGACATGCACTCGTAGGAGGTGCTTCGGTTGGTCATCACACCCTGGTGTCACGTTTTATGCAGGGTTCGAGACGGCTTAGGCCTTTCCGCCCAGCCCGAGTTCCTTCTTGGGACTTATCGATTGTGTTGGAGGGCCTGACAGGCCATCCCTTTGAACCAATGGAGTCGGTGTCAGAGAAGTTACTGACCATTAAGACCGTTCTTTTGGTGGCTTTATCCTCCCTTAAGAGGGTAGGGGACCTGCAGGCTCTCTCCATTAGTCCTTCGTGTATGGACTTTGCACCAGGACTGGTAAAAGTGTTTTTGCGACCTAGGCCTGATTATGTTCCTAAGGTCACTTCAACTCCATTTCGCTTTTGGTTTGACTTCGCCTCTAGGGGTGCGTGCTCATTCTACAAGAGCAGTGACTTCTTCTCAGGCTTTCTTTAAAGGGTCTTCGTCGGAAGATGTTTGTGCTGCGGCAGGATGGACCTCTCCTAGCACATTCATCAAGTTTTATAGTCTGGACATAGGGATGGCTCCTGGCTCCAGGGTCTTATCTACTTGAGCAGACGCTTTCCTTGGTCTTCTAGCTAGCTACGGTACGTCAGGCGTTATGGTATAGCGTTCACAAAGTGATGACGTCATCGCAGCATCGAAGTGAGCCTATGAGAGGGAACATCTCGGTTACATATGTAACCTTGGTTCCCTGAGTAGGGGAACGAGATGCTGCGATGCTCGGCCGTTCCGTACCTTGATAGCGCTTCCTTTGTAAATCAGTGAAATTTGATGAAAATAGCGCGCAGCACGCTATATAGCTCACCTACGTGCGCTTTGGGGTGGTGCTAAGCGCTATAAGCATTCATATTCGTGCGATTTTTTGAGTGGCTCGTCAGTGAACAATGGCTCTGTGCAGTTAATGCTGCTCAATGTGAAAGCCCACAGGTGATGGAGATTTACCGCTGATTACAGAACCGGCTTTCTGACCAGATGCGCGTTAAATATCGCATGCGATTTATCGTGCAGTCCTAATTTATACTTAACTAATATGCTAAAACAATGAGTATCAAACAAGTTTTCACACTAATACAGTAAGCTACAGGTAAATCTCACATCAACATGCTTTTATCATCTTTTTAAGTTTAATTAATGTGCTGGCTAGATTTACATATTGTAGTCATTATGTCAACAAGGTTTAGCTTAATTAAATCATGGCCACGAATTAAGAACATCGTAATAATCAATAAAACTAGCAATCTGGAATTCATTATTATTTCTTAGCAGTTCTCACGTTGGCTACGTAAACTTTGCATCGTTTAAAGGTTATAAAATAAAACTTAATTGAAAATCGGTAAAGTTACTCACTCTGATTGCTGTCCATGTCGTCCATCTTTAGTGATCCAATTCGGTAGGTGGCACTGTTACAAAAGAATAGGGTCCTAGAACTGCGATCCCGAAACTGCAGCCTCCGGTTGTGCATGATACTATTGCCTACTACTCTAAAATTAAAACGGGGAGTGGCTGGAAACTAGCGACCTCTCCTGGTCGGAGATTGTATTGAAATCATAAACTGAAAGCAATCTTTACTTGACTTGCTTTTCAAATATTTTTAAATTGATCATCCGAGTCTAATATGATCCAGCAGGCCGCCAGTTGCCCATCCCTGTTCTAGACTTGTTTAACATCCTTTGTTCATAACTCAGTAATGCTGTTTAATAAACCATGTCACTACAGCTTTACTGGCCCATTGTCAAGAGAGTTCCACTGACTGGAAGCCCCTCAATTAAAATTACCCTAATTTTCTCCCAGTTTAAGCCCTTTAGAGCGGTAGACTAAAGCTTTTACGCTGTCTTATTCTGTTAACATGAATATGAACCATGTCTGTGTTACACCTACAAGCCACCATTTGCAGTGCACAGCTGTGGTTGAAATGCTATTTTCAGCCCTTCTCAGCAGTCCATGACATCTTAATTCATTGTAAGATTTGATTTATTTCACCTTTCGTTAATCTCACCTAATCCGTGCTATTCAAATTCATCTGTTCTCTCTTCTGTTATTTATTCCTGTTTTTGGTATTACTTCATGATTTTGGCATGAGGAGAGAACTTCTCACTAACCGCTGTGTGCACATTTTGGTGTATTTTTGGTTTATTATGTTTGGCCTCTGCTGTGGAATGGCTGTTTGCATATGTTATGATAGTTCTGTGGTTTCGCAACTAATAAAGGATTATGTAAGATAAGTTCATGTATATTTGGGAATTACTGTGGGGAAAATTTAAATCAGTAATTCAGTTGCTGCTTTTATACAGTTTGCATTTATCATTAGGAACAATGCTTGAGAAAAGTCAGTGAAAGTGTTCACATTTTCCACTTTGGTTTAATGCTGTCTGTTTATGTGTTTTTGCACAGGATGTTTGACAGAGCGACAAAGAAGCTGGTCCGACAGCTAGATCCTAAGGGTGCTCTGATTGCGACTTCCAGACTAAATGATTCCGGAAAACTCCAGGCGCTTGCGGTGGTGCTGAAAACCCAGAAAAGCTGGTTCTGGCAGCAAACTAAATACAAACCCACAGGATTCAAACTCAATGACCTGCTGGAAGGGGATCCAATTAAACCAGGTAAAGTGCATAGTGAATAGGTATCTCAGTAGAAACAGATGTTTTTTTCAAAATATGCCTAAATGGAACTGTCTTGTGTCTGTCCTTGTTGAAATTAATATCTCTCTTTGTTTTGATCAGTGTGTGAGGAGAAAGAGTTTGTAAAGTTTGAGGGAGAGTACAGCAACTCTGTAACTGGATCTATAGAGTTGGGAGTTTCTGCTGTCTCCCTAAATGCGAATGGACAGGGCACATCGAAACTTAGTTTATCAGTCGGGACACTTAAGAGGGAAGATGTGGATATTCCCAGTCTTGTGAAGCTCATTAGAGGAAGGTTAGAGAAAAACTATTTAATATGATGTTGACCCACTTAAATGAACGTTAATTACAAACTAAGGAGAATATGTTTTTTTAATCATAATTTGGAAAATCAATTCAAATTCTAAAGTTGAACCTTGTGGTATCTCTTGACAGGAATGTTCGTTCAAAAATTATTTTTATTTTGAACCCTCATGTTATTCAAAATCTGTAAAGAAGATATTTGAAAAATGTTTCAACTTTTCATTTTCATTGTATGGAAAAAAAAAATCTGACATTTTTCAAAATACCTTTTTTGTAAAATCACACATTTGAAATGACATGCGGATGAGTATATGATGACAAAATTGACATTTTGATGCATACAAGATAACAATCTGATGTGGTTTGATATTCGTTCCTCTGTTTTTTACCTTGATGACCCCCTTAGGAAGTTGGACCTCAAAAACTCTTTTTTCAAGCAGTCCCCCAAAAAAAACATGGCTTTTACCATCCTTAAAGAGCGAATTTACACCACCCACCCATGCTCCATCTCTTATACAGAACTGGAGAAGGCCAGCTGCCATGCTGCGGTTGGTTTTGCCGAGGTTTGTAAGAAGTAGTGTGTTCAGGGATTGAACGGTAATGATCAGGAGTTTAGCTTCATTAATGAATGTCATTATCATATCATATCATGTCATTAATAAATCTCCTTTTCTGACTCAGTGTTGTTATTGGTAACTATTCAAATACTTTTCAGTAATTGATATAAAGCTGAAATAAAATAAAATAACATAAATATTGGATGAAAAACTGAAACTTAAAACTTAATTGAGAAGAACTAAACTTACTAAAACTTAAATAAAAATTAATTAACACTATATAGAAATTTAAAAAAACTGCACTAAATAAAAAGCACATAACAAAACTACTCAAATTAAAATCAAAACTGAAAATATAAAAATAAATGCTAATTCAAAATATGAATAAATACTAATTGTATATAAATAATACTAAACAACAACAACACAGAATTATCGGCCTCTTTGGTGTTTCAGATGCACGTTAAAGACAGCGGTGAACTTCAGTGTGGCTCTAAGACTGCATTACACATCCCACCGGACACTGTGATGGCTTACAGTGTCATTGAAATGACCATCGAAAGTGACGGCTACTTTGGTCAGTGACATTTATTGAATATGGCTTAACAACATTACAGTTCCTTTTGATTTTTTTATTACATGTATCAACATATATTAAATTCATTACTATTATTTTTTATTTATATGTATTTTTATCATTTTATATTAATTATGTGTATTATTTGGAAGAAGAAAAAAACAGTTTGACAAATGTGCTGTGTATTTGGGCTTTCCATGTCTGAGTTTTGATTTTTGTGTGAATTTAGATTTGTGCATTTGGTCCAGTGGGTTGGAATCAGATGACATTTCCCAGAATCCATTTCCCAATTTCTCAGAGGGGGGTGGTCAATGGCCACTGATCCAGGAAGGTTTCCCACTTAGTACTCTAAAAAAAGGTGTGTGTTTCAGTTCCTTTGTGTTCTGCTAAAGTATCTGTGCAGAAGTAGGATTAGCCCTGCATTTCTCTTACCCTTTTTTAAGTTCCTGGTTCTTAGGACATTGCGATAATAATAATGAGGCACTTTGAGATGTATATTTGTGGTCTCTTTGCAGCACTTGCAGACGTTCAAACTAGCTTTTGTGCACTGGCTGACTTGCCTGCTGAAAGCCGTTCCTCCATCCTTCTCCTGCTGAGGGAAATTCTGACGGACCGATCTGTCTTGTCAGCTTTGGTGGAAAGAGTGAGTGATAGTATAAGGAACAACGATAAGAAACAATGCTTTCTAAAATCATGTCCAAAAGTTGCAGAAGGACGTTGTGAAATTGCATAAAAGGGTGATTCTTTCTTTAAGAGGATTTTCTGTCCTCTAGGATGATTTTAAAGATTATTTCACGGTAGATTTGAACTTTTTCCTAATTTTTAAGAGAGTTTAAAGGTGACATGTGCCATAATTTCTCTATTTTGTGCTTGTATCCACAGATTTATTTCTCCTCCAATATTTTTTATTTAATTAGTGTTAGTTTGAATATCATTAAAAGTAAACGTTTCATTTTTCAAGATTTCAAGTAGTCAAGGGTCATGTAACTGAAAAATGACATAGATATGAAAGGTTTTTCCTCTTTATATCACTTATATTTAGTTTTCTCTGATCGCGTTGTCTTTTTGTCTTTAAGCTTGAGGTGTTAAGCAGCAGTGAAGCTCCGTGCTTCTTAGACAACAAGTTGTCTGAAAAACAGAGCCAGATCATTGGTGCTTTTTTAGACTTACTGAAAGGTGAACAACTTGACAAGAGTGGACTTACCACATCAACGTCATTGTCCAGTTATAATGGATGTCAGATATCAACAGCCAATCACAGGGATTCTCCCTTGGCATCTGAGTTAAATGAATCAAGCCCCATACCAGAAGAACAGAATGGATGTCACAAGGCTGTATCTCATCAGAACGGATGCTCAACAAAAGCAAGCAGGCAGAGCATGGAGCTTATGAATGTTATGGAAATGCTGATCAATTCTCTTGACGGTTAGTACTGTACCTAAACTCAGAGGTTTCATATGTACGTAGACTGTCTGTCTTCACTCATACACTTTATTCAGAACTCACGGATGCTGGACTGGACTTGCTAGAGCCGTTCTGCACTTCTGAAGGTCTCCAAAGTCTACAGGATGTAGTGAGTTTAATATTGTTGGATGCCAATGCAGATTCTGAATGAATGCTTTAGAAACATGTAAAGTAGTTGAAACAAAAAAACAAAACAAAACAAACATTAAAATAAAAAATGTAATAATTTTATTCCATTTTGTTTTCTGTAAACCTAGGTGATTCATCTGACTACTAGCGATATGCCTAGTAGCAAGGACACCATGCCTGTTTTCCTCCAAAGTGACAATGAATTCCACAGAGTGGAGGAACTTTTTAAGTCATGCAATGTTTTACTAAGGAAAGAGAATGACATGTTAACCTCAGAAATTACCTGTAGAGAGGGCTTCCTCCCAATGGTTCTGTGCATTGCCATCCATGGCCTTGCATCCTTTGTTTCTGAGTGACAGTGTTAGTGCTTTTACTGACAGCTGAAATAGGCTGTTAAAGTGTAATTGTAACACGTTTTCCCAATTACAAAGACATATTAGTTCATGCAGAAATTACTTGCTTTAGTTTTAATGTTCCTATGTGCAGACATTTACTTGCTTATTAATATTTTGCATTCATTTTATCTTTGTAAATTCCATAAGAGTACTCAGTCTAGTTGTAATATATCTCCAACAAGGTGCCTTTACTCAGGTTTTTAACTTTATTTTCCAGATAATTTTAGTTATTTTCCCAAACTAAAATACTTTTATTGTCTTTTATTACAGTGAAATTGTAGTAAAAGCCTATTTAAAAAACCTTCATGAAAACAAGTTTATTTTGTTCTCTGAAATTGATTTTGTTTTCCATAGATCATTTATAGATAGCAGTATTCATTTAGTATTTCTTTATTTACCAAGGATAAAAAGGATACAAATGCTAGGATGAAAGTTTTTAATCTTAAAATTATTGGTAAAATGTATGGAAAGAGTCTTAAAAAAGGTCTTAAAAGGTATAAAATGTATCTCCATGATTCCTGTATCTACCCTGTATTATTACTAAATAAAAAAGAGGAACAAATAACAATGGTTGGTCTGTTTATTGTCTTGTTGTAACAGACTTGTTGACATAGACACAAAAATACATTTGGCAGAGAGGTCATGGCATTCTGGGACAGAAAGAAACAAGAAAAAGACTGAAATCAACAGGTCTATTTTTTTGGTTCTTTAACGGACTGAGGATAATAAGACACAACATGCAGCCCAATGTTGTACAACAGACAAAATCAGTGAATGAAATATTACAAAAAACACTATAAATAAAACAAACTGCACACATTAATATGGACTTTTTGCATAAAAGAGATTCATAACATCTCTTTTGGATATGAAGAGAAGCAAATAAACAGTTAAGAGATCTGGGTCTATGTAAACAGTTTTATGGTTCATGATTTTAGCATCTAGAATGTTCCAGAGGAGCCCTTGGCCTGCTACACTCTTGTCAGGTTAGTCCTTCATTTGAGTATAAATCAAAACATCACAGTAGGTTCAGCAACTACAAAATGAAAAAAGGAGAAACATGTAAAATATAACTACAATAATAAATAAAAATATATGGCCTCTGAATCGCCAAGGCCAGTTTCCCTCGTTTTTCTTTTCTTTTCTTCCAATTCCAAAAATGTTACAAATAGAAAGATATTCTTTAAAAACATACAAATACTAAAATAAATAAGTACTCTTCCCTTTCAGTTTGAGTAGAAAAAACCATGCATTGTGTGCACAATAGTGAGGCTAGGGCTAACGGTGCTTTCGTGGCAGACGACGCTCATTTGGTTGGTCAATTAAAACGAGTAACTTCACTGCCCCACATCAATCTCCTTGCATACCAATCATACACACACACCAACCCACACACACACTCAAACACTCTTGCATAGTGATCTTCTAACGCAGGGGTGTCAAACTCAATTCCTGGAGGGCCCGAGCCCTGCAGATTTTTGTTCCAACACACATACATTGTAGTTTTCAAATAAGCCTGAAGGACTTGATTAATTGGATCAGGTGTGTTTAATTAGGGTTGAATCTAAACTCTGCAGGGCTCCGGCCCTCAAGGAATTAAGGTTGACACCCCTGTTCTAAAGGTTCCCCTTAGTAAACCCAGCTCACTGGAACCCACTGCGGTTCAGTACAGAGTTGCTCCACATCTGACTGCAGTTTCTCAAACGCACAGTCTAGGTTGTCATTGACAATAATGAGGTCAAAGTAGTGTCTGTAAGCTCGCAGGATACGAGCGCTTTCATCCACAGTCTTCTTCAGGTCCACATCCTGTGAGAAAGAGAAAACAGAATTATTATTTGAATTAAGAGAGAATTTATGATGTTGACAGATTAACCAGATATTCAGTGAAACTGATAATTATTAAGTCCATTTGTAAAACAACCACTATAAATGATCGATTGAATATTTATCACTTTTTAAAATATTTAATTCCTTCCCCCTGCTTTCTGGGGAATAATGATTGCATTCATACAGCTTATTTCACAAACAGAATGAGGGAATTAAGAGTTTAATACCACAAAGAACGTCTGCCAGATCGTTGCTTCAGCAGTGGGCGGGACTAACACACAAGTGGTAATTCCATTGGCTAGTATTCACCGATCACTTTCTGCATTTTGATGTTAGTAAATCAATTGGGTGAACGACAATGTGATTAGCACACAACAGACACTGAGCTGCTGTCAATTAGGTTGTTAATTATATATATATATATATATATATATATATACACACAGTGGAGATCAAAATTAGAGAACAACCTACAATTTCACTGGTCACTGTTTGATCCTATTTGAAGTTATCCTAACAGCAGTAGAAGGGCAGTTTTTAAGCATATTAATTGTATTCTGAAGCACAGTATAAAAAACCTAAATTAGATATTTGAAAAAACAACTTTGATCAAAATTAGAGAACACACAGATACCTCCAAGTTATTGGTGTTAATCTGGCACCTGGTGCTAATTTCCTTAATTATATGACAAACCCTATTTAACTGGCAACATTCCTCTAATTTTCACTGCGATTGTAAGATTGCGGGCTGCCCTAAGGTGTCTGAAACCATGTGACAGGAGGTTGTCCAGATGAAGGTCAAAGGGACGATCTTTTCAGTCATTGCATGAGAACTTTGTCGTTCCAAATCTGTAATTTCTTGAATATTGCAGCTTTACAATGACACTAATTCACTCAAGTCCCCCAAAAAGGCTGGTCTTCCACTTAAGACAAATGGATGAGAAGACGGGATAATGCGGAGACTCTCGTGGTTGGGGAAGTGGTTCAACACTGCAGCTGGAATTGCTCGCCAGTTCAGTGCTGAATAGGGTAAGGATCTGTCTCAGCACACTTAAGAGAAGTTGGACTGAAAGCGCACTCTGCAGTGACCAAGCCTCTCATCAGCAGAAAGAATCAAATGGCTCAGCTCACGTTTGCTGAGGAGCATGTTGTGTGGACAGAGGAGAACTGCTCCAAAGTTCGCTTAAGTGATGAGAGCAAGATTAAGGGAATTAAGAGTTTAATACCACAAAGAACGTCTGCCAGATCGTTGCTTCAGCAGTGGGCGGGACTAACACACAAGTGGTAATTCCATTGGCTAGTATTCACCGATCACTTTCTGCATTTTGATGTTAGTAAATCAATTGGGTGAACGACAATGTGATTAGCACACAACAGACACTGAGCTGCTGTCAATTAGGTTGTTAATTATATATATATATATATATATATATATACACACAGTGGAGATCAAAATTAGAGAACAACCTACAATTTGGTCACTGTTTGATCCTATTTGAAGTTATCCTAACAGCAGTAGAAGGGCAGTTTTTAAGCATATTAATTGTATTCTGAAGCACAGTATAAAAAACCTAAATTAGATATTTGAAAAAACAACTTTGATCAAAATTAGAGAACACACAGATACCTCCAAGTTATTGGTGTTAATCTGGCACCTGGTGCTAATTTCCTTAATTATATGACAAACCCTATTTAACTGGCAACATTCCTCTAATTTTCACTGCGATTGTAAGATTGCGGGCTGCCCTAAGGTGTCTGAAACCATGTGACAGGAGGTTGTCCAGATGAAGGTCAAAGGGACGATCTTTTCAGTCATTGCATGAGAACTTTGTCGTTCCAAATCTGTAATTTCTTGAATATTGCAGCTTTACAATGACACTAATTCACTCAAGTCCCCCAAAAAGGCTGGTCTTCCACTTAAGACAAATGGATGAGAAGACGGGATAATGCGGAGACTCTCGTGGTTGGGGAAGTGGTTCAACACTGCAGCTGGAATTGCTCGCCAGTTCAGTGCTGAATAGGGTAAGGATCTGTCTCAGCACACTTAAGAGAAGTTGGACTGAAAGCGCACTCTGCAGTGACCAAGCCTCTCATCAGCAGAAAGAATCAAATGGCTCAGCTCACGTTTGCTGAGGAGCATGTTGTGTGGACAGAGGAGAACTGCTCCAAAGTTCGCTTAAGTGATGAGAGCAAGATTAATTTATTTGGGTCTGATGGGAAACATTTTGTTTGGCATCAAACTGGTGAAAGACTGAAGCCCAAGTGTATAAAGAAGTCAGTGAAAGGTGGAGGAAGTGTCATGGTTTGGGGGATGTTTTCTGCAGCAGAAGTTGAGCCTATTATACAGCTACATGGCAGGTGAATGCAAATGTTTATCAGAACCTCCTTCAGCAACATGCAGTTCCTTCCCAGCAAGCATCTCCCAGTCTGCCTGCAATTTTCATGCAAGACAATGTCCCCGTCACACTGCAAAACAGATCAAGCGGTTCCCTGAAGCTAAGAACATTGAAATAATGAAACGGCCGGCCCAGAGTCCTGATATAAACCCGAATGAAAATCTCTGGAAAATCCTTTGTGACAAAGTTATGGCTAAGAAACTCAATACAGTTACCGAACTATGGAAGACACTGGAAGAAGAGGACCAAGATCACACCAGCACAGTGTGAGAAACTAGTGATGTCCTGCGGCCACAGATGTGCTGAAACAAGGGCCTCTACACTTCCTACTAATTTCTGACAGCTGTAACCCTCCAAAATTTGAGTTCTTTTAGGACTTCTTTCATGCTACAGTGGACTAGTGTTCTCTAATTTTGATCACTGTGTTTCCCACACAGTAAAGGTTTTTGTTGAAATGCCTTGGTTGTTTAGTCAAACATGTTAGCTAATATTCCTTCATATTTTGAGCGATGAAGATTAACAATATTTCAGAAAAAAATCTAATATTTATAGATTTGTGTCTAATTTTGATCTCCACTGTTATATATATATTTTAAAATGTAATTTACTTCTGTAATGGCAAAGCTTACTTTTCAGCAGCCATTAGTATGCCAAAGTGGTCAAGAAAGATTTCTGATTAATATTAATTAATATTTTTGAGAATTTTTTCAGGATTCTTTTATGAATGGAAAGTTCAAAAGAAACTCTTTTTAAATTGAAGGAAAATCTTTTGTAACATTGTAAATGTCTTTACTGTCACTTTTAATCATTTGAATGCATACTTGCTTTATAAAAGCATTAATTTCTTTCAAAACCCCAAACTTTTGAATGTCAGTGTATATCTCATGTGAACGTATCTTATTAAAAAGCAATTTAAAACTGTTTCTCTATGAAAACAAAGCAAGACCGTTAAGCCCATGTTTACTTAGAAGAACAATTAAAAAACAAG